CTCACCATGCTTCTTATCAAATTTATTGGGGTGTCTACTTTCCAAAAATGCGTCATATGGGGGGGGGGGTTTGGTGCTATCCTGGCATTTCAGGGCATTTCTCTGAAACTGTGATAGGTAGTCAGAAAGTGTAATGAGAAAATAACGCTCCATACTTCTCCATACTTGGGAGAAGTCGCAGAATGTATTTTGGGGAGTAATTCCACATATACCCATGGCATGTGTGAGCAATCAATCATTTAAGTGACAATTTTGTGTAAAAAAAAAGAATAATTTTTTTTTGTCATTTTCCAAAAACTTGTGGTAAAAAAAAAATAAATTCTTCTATTGACTCAATTCTGTTGACTCAACATGCCTCTCAGCAAATAGTTTAGGATGTCTACTTTCCAAAAAGGGGTAATTTTGGGGGGTGGGGACATTTTATGCCCAGCATTAGCAGTTTGTGCCACACATCACACACTCTTCTAACCAACTGAAGACCAAGCCTTTTCTGACACTTTTTGTTCTAGGAAATTACTTTGAACCCCCAAACATTATATTTTTTTAAAGCAGACACTCTAGTGAATAAAATGGTTTGTGCTGCAATTTTTTTATGTCACATTTTGCAAACGCAAATGTTTTGAAAAAAATACACTTTTTTTACTTTTAATGCACAAAAACATAATATATTGGTCATATAAAATATAAAATATGATGGTATGCTGAGTAAATAGATACCAAACATAGATTTTTAATATCCATAGGCAACACTATAAAAGCCTTTACAAACTACCATTTTTAGATTTACATAGGAGGTCCAGTGCTAGAATTACTGCCCTTGATCTGAACACTGACACTGTACTAATGGCACTGGAAGGGTGGCAGGGGGCAATCAAAGAGTTAAATGTGGCAATCAAGGGGTTAAAATGTCTTTATCTAACGTGTGTGGGTGCAGTGCGCTGCTTTTACTCACGTGTGATGTCTCTTTCTTCTCTCTCTGGAACAAAATGAACAGAGAGAGAAGAACCAGCTAGATCCTGTGCTTGTGTTTACAAATACAGGCCCAGCTCTGCATCTCCATTCGCTGTAGGAGATCGGCAGAGACCCCGCCAAAATCACTGGCTGAGACCTGCTGACATACACCTCCTACAACGAATGACAGCGGGGGTCAGCAGGGGGGTTCGCACATGTGCACTCTAAATCCGGAAGAGCAAAGCAAGTACATTGCGGGCAGGCGGGTGGGAAGAGTTTAAAATAATACCTAAAGAATCTGCAGAAAGGTCATATTAAGGCACTTCCTGTTATAGGGCGACAATGATCAATTCCTGTCTTCCATTTGTGCACCTGTTATTGTAACCTTGTCACGAAGGTTTCCAATGAGGACTACAAACAGCAAATTTAAACAGGCGTTACACAGGCATGGTCGCTGGGGTACATGCATTTAGACAGAAAGTGCCCGCAGAGAGGCTGCAGGTGATCAGCTACACAAATGATAAAAGGGGAACACAAGTATTTTATTTTAAAAATAGAGTAGATGTTTATGGTACATGGTGCTTTATTAAACTAAACATCATTAAGTTAAGTTTTAAATATATTTTAAAATCCCTTGCAATGCACTTCTGGTTCCTTTTTTCCCATAAATTATTTTACTGGAAGTCCAGTTCCCAGGAAGTACAGTGGGTAATGCACTTACAGGAAGAATGACAAGGACAACCAGAAGTGGATATCTTGGGATTTAAAAAAAATTGTACATTGATGGAACATGGCCCTGAAATAAGAGAAATAATCACAGAGAAGCCCCCTCCTTGTAACTCTTTAGAAACATAACCCCGTGAAATTAAATATTTTGACACTTGTTACTTTAGTGGTGGACACTGCTCTGTCTATGTCACTGGTTAACCTATTTCTTCTCTCTGAAATTTATTGCAATTATCTAATCTTTTACTTGCCAAGGGAAAAGATAAACCATTACGCTATGCTAAAATTGCATTTTAAATTTTGATTTGTTTTTAATATATGTGGTGATATTGCAGTATAATTCATATTTCTCATCTTCTTCCCACAGTTCATAAATGTATAGTTGTAGCATGTAAATATGATCAATCATGTGAAGACTAGGTAAAGGCTATTAGTATGAATGTTATTTAATATATTATTGTATATTTATTGGTGAAGAAATCTATATTTTACGTGTAGAAATAATAAGACCACAACAGAAGAAGTAGAGTATTTTGCTATTTTCATAATAATTCAGTTTTTGTTTCATATGTAATTAGAATTATATTGATTCAAAAAAAATACTGTTTAACAAATCATATACTATAGCATCTCCATTCATTATTTAAACCTGGGTCTCCTAAACAAATGCCTTAAAGGCAGGGCTTTTTTTCTCAGAGGAAAGGTGGTGGAACTCCCCCACCCAAACCTGGCCACGCCCCCATCAAACCCTAGGACCACCCCTTTAGAGAACAGGAATGCAAGTAAAATTTGGGAGGGGCTATAAAAGTAAATGTATGGAATTAACACCGCCGCCCCCCCCCCCCCCACATTAGTAAGAATAGCGAGTAACACTGCCCCCCCCCACATTAGCAAGAAAAGCGAGAAAAATTGTATCGCCGCTCCTTACCTGATGCTGACGATCCGCGCTATGGTAGGATCGACGAGCAGAGGGCGTGATGACGTCAGCGCGCACCGCCGGGGTGTACTAAGATACACCTTTCCTATGGGGGTGGCCGCGCGCCCCCCCGATGTTTACACGCTGGCGGTAGAGGGGGGGGGGTGAAGCGTGCATGTCCCCGCTCACCGGCTGTGAGCAGCGGCAGTGACAGGTGCCGGGCACGCGCAAGCATGACATAAAAACAAGCCGCGTCCGGCACCTGTCACTTTCGCTGCTCTGCATAGCTTGTCAGCTCTGCAGAGGCAGTCGGTGAGCGGGGACAAGAAGAAAGGTGGCGGAACGCAGTACCGCCGCGTTCCGGCAGAAAGAAAGCCCTGCTTAAAGGACTCCAAAGATCATGTTATCCAGGTTTCCAGGAACTAAAAGCTTACAGGAGCTGGAGATTTCTTAATCAACAGACTTTTTCACTTATGGGGGAGCTACAGTACAGTTATAGTGAAACTCCAGCTCCAAATGTCATATACTAATTTACAGTATTTATTACAGGTACTTATATAGTGCAATCAATTTAAATGTATATACATAAATTGTACATTCACATCAGTCCATAACCTTCAAGGAGTCTACAATCTAAGGTCTCTAACTTACATTCATACATACACATACGAGGGCCAATTTAGGCAGGATCCGATTAACCTACCAGCATGTCTTTGGAGTGTGGGAGGAAATCAGAGAACACAGAAGAAACCCACACAGGCACAGGAAGAATATGTAAATTCCAGGCAGGTGCTGCCATGGATGAGATTCGAACCGACGACCCTAGTACTGCCAGGAAAAAGTGCTAACCATTTACCCACTGTGCTGCCCAGGATACCTAGGACACACGTTTCTTTCATGTTCAGTTTCCTGAGCCTCTCCTTAAGCTAAATGGCATTTATCCTCATGGTTAAAGGGTCCTAACCTCTTCCTTCCAAATGCCTGCCATTCTACCTGTCCAGTTTATCAAAGTGAATGTTAAGCATATTTTCTCTTGGCTTAGTGAATTAGGTTGAGCTATGTTTTCTTTAACTTCAAATTGTGTGTAAGCAAAAATCCAGATTCATTTTTTGCACATGATTGGGTATTCAGAGTGAACATAACTTCGCCTTAATAAGCAAGCTATGTGAACATTCTCTAACTTTTTAGTAAAATAAACCCAGTGCGTCAGATTCCTATAAATCTGCAGCTATAAGAAGCAAAGTACAGGATACATAATTATATAGATGAGCATAAAAGGTGAGTATTTCCACTAAAAGAGATACACTGGGGGGAGGGGGGTTATTTGCTGCTAAATCTGAAAAATGTTAAATCTGGTGCAACTCTGCATATAAACCAATCAATGTTATTGCTAAAGCTTAATTGAACAATCTGAAGTTAGAAGCTGATTGGCTACCATGCACAGCTGAACCAGATTTTGAGTGCACCAGTTTTAGTAAATCTCTCCCAAGGGGACTTTTCTGGTTTTTATATGACTACCCTAGTCATAGATATGCTCCGTGTTGAGCATACCTCTGCTGTGATTGCTACTCTGCTATGACCAGATTAGCCTTTCATTCGGGTGGTGCCCCACTGGGATCCTTGCAGTAACCCCTTCAGAGCCTGAGATGTGAATTTAAAGATCTTACACTGATTTTGGCTAGACTGCCTCTGCTTTGTGGATCAAGTTACACAGATACACCTACTAATTCATCATTATACCAGTAATTTTCCCTGAAGAAGGAACTCCATTTCAAAACATGTTGGGAATTATGGGAAGATTTTATTATCGCCAAGCAAGACATGTATCTATACTGTTGTATTTCTAAATACACTTGGGTATATGCTGGCTTAATTAATTGGTGTATCATATTGTATTTTACCTTTTGTTCCATTGACCATTTGGTCATTTTTTTAATTAATAATAAAGATTGATTACCGTATTTTTTGCTCCATAAGACGCACTTTTTTCCCCCCAAAAAGGGGGGAAAATGTCAGTGCGTCTTATGGAGCGGCTGGTCCGGTATTTCCACCGCTGCCACCGTGTCAGAATAACCGGGCCAGCTGCTCAGCTCTTCTCTGCAGCAGGACCTTACCTGTTCCTCGGTCCATCGCTGTACAGTCTTCCCGCACTGGCACCTTTAGTGTGGCCACTCGGCTGTGGCAGCTGGGTGCCCACTGCACATGCGCGAGAAGTGCTGCGCTTTGTGAATGGCCCGGCATCTTCTGGGACACATGACAGGTCCCAGAAGACACCGGGCCATTCACAAAGCGCAGCGCTTCTCGCGCATGCGCAGTGGGCACCCGGCTGTAAAGAAAGGACAACTCCGCGGAAGTGGGAGCGGGTATCTGTTAAATTCAGGTGCCCACTCCCCCTCTCTCCCCAAAGGTCCGCAGTCTCTTGGTCATCCCCTGTACTGTCTGCAGTCTCTGGTCATCTCCTGTACTGTCTGCAGTCTCTGGTCATCTCCTGTAATGTCTGCAGTCTCTTGGTCATCTCCTCTACTATGTCCGCAGTCTCTGGTCATCCCCTGTACTGTGTCCGCAGTCTCTGGTCATCTCCTGTACTATGTTCGCAGTCTCTGGTCATCCCCTGTACTATGTCCGCAGTCTCTGGTCATCTCCTGTACTATGTCCGCAGTCTCAGGTCATCTCCTGTACTATGTCTGCAGTCTCTGGTCATCTCCTGTACTATGTCTGCAGTCTCAGGTCATCTCCTGTACTATGTCTGCAGTCTCAGGTCATCTCCTGTACTGTGTCTGCAGTCTCTGGTCATTTTCTGTACTATGTCTGCAGTCCATTGGTTCAGAATATATTTTTTTTCTGGTTTTTCACCTCTAAAACCTAGGCACGTCTTATGGTCAGGTGCGTCTTATGGAGCGAAAAATACGGTACTTGTTTTTTAATATATTTCATGTTTCATATCTTCTGCCTCTAAAGTCTCCTTGGGAATCCTTTGACCTTTGGGTTGCCTATATTTATGAGACAATCAAATTTAAAAAGAAAATAAAGTACATATACAGTATTCATTGCATGCAAAGTTGTGTTTATGTGAATATTTTCAGGTAGGGGGTCTATAGCTTTCAGCAGATTCTTAAAGGGGTCCATGACTCAAAAAAGGTTAAGAGCCACTGAATTAAGTTAAAATTGTCATGGTACAGGAATTTGTGCTTGAGAATGTTAATCTACAGATTCTGGGTGTCTGGGAAGAAAGTTATATATCTGCTACCATGCCACTCCTGCAATGTTGTGAGAAATGAATTTGCCTCAGGCAAATTTCCTAAGGATGGTATTACAATAAATTTTACTGTAGCCAAATATAATAGAAGCACTATAGTTCACCAATGGCATTGCTTTATAAACAATGCAACTGTAACATACCTGACAGGGAACTGAGCAGACGAAGGCAGCCTCTCTAGTAGCTCCTGCCTAAGCACTCCTGAAAATGAGAAAAAGGGTGCAAAGGAACAAGAGGAACTTGATTGCTGCAAAATGTGCCAGCAGGAGTGTCAGGTAAGAAGTGAGCAGGAGAATCAGCAGAAGTTGAAAGGGAATCGTGGGTAGTTCAAAGGTTCAGGATGGCAGAGTTCACAGATAACACAGACATGTAGCAGGATTAAACATTCTGAATTTGAATGTAGGAAAAGCAAGCACTTGGCAATGGCGTGGAGAAGAGTCAGAAGCAGAAGCAAAGTCACAGACCAAGTAAGGTTTGCAACAAACAGGCAATGCAGTACCAAATCAGAAGCTTCATCAAGGTCAGGAACAAGCCACAGTCAAACACTTGTTGAGCAATAGTACAGAGAAGGATCCAAAATCAGGTTAGGAGGATGCTTGGTAGATTACAGGAAACATATGCATAACTCAAATCAGGATGCAAGGAACATGCTGAAGACCAGTCAACACTGATACTGAGTACAGAATCCCTTAAACAGGCCCCTTGGTGCCAATGTTGACACTGCATGCACTCACATCTGTGCACAGATCATGATGCATGTGCATACTGTAAACACATGCATTCCCCGAGCACACACTCATGATCGGTTATCACTCTACATGCAGAGCTGCAAGTGGATAAATGCGAATGCACAGATGTCTGAGTCAGCTTGCTAACAGGAATAAATGGTGCTGCTCACAGCCTCCCGAATACCATCTCATGGGCTCTCTCTGGTCCAGGTGCTAGTTCCTCAAAAAACATATCCTGCTTCATCCATCCACAGCAATGCAAAGCACTGGGCAGCACTCCGTGTGTATCAACTATGTCTCAAAGTGAAAGTAAACTCTTCAACTACAGTTCCTGCCCATTGAACATTCCCTTCTGATGTGTTTCCCCTTCATTGGGCCTAATTGTAGAGGTACTACAATGAGTAAGGTCAATCGGGGTGAAATGTGTCAGAAGGTCATGGCCAATGAGTGGGGACTGTAGCTGAAGCTGATAGCAGCTCTAGATATGTATTGTAATTTCTCTGTTACTTTACAAAATGATTCAAAATGAGCCACAAATTTGAGGATGTCTAGATCAACCAATTAGGTATCATACTGTGGAGATCTGATATCTACTTTAAATCCTTCCTATACAATTAAACAGATGTGACATAGTCAACATGTATTCACGACAAGACAACTGTTCAAAACATTAGCATAAATGACAGAGTTACAAAAGTGCAGAAAAACTAAAAATGCAATCATGGACATGAGAAGTTCTATTAAAGAAAAAATCCACATATTGCACATGATTGGATGTTTGACTTCACTCAACTGCACTTCACATCATTCCAAAAATTGCTAAATCCAATACAATGAATTTTATTCAGATATATCAAATATGTTAAAATCAAATTAAAAAGTTTCACCAATTATTTTCACCTTTAAAGTAAACTGTGGGCACTTTAAACATACATTTTATAGATATACAATTTCTATTCAGTATTGCCATTTTATTGTTTCCTTATTTAAAACATCTACAGGGATACTGAACCTCCTCTTCTCCTAGCAGCTGCCATGACTAAATGTTGAGGTCTTTAACCTCCCCTGTCTTACTGAGTATATTTGTCTAATGAGCTGTCTTCTACTTGCTCCAGAGTTCTCCAGACAAATTTGACAATCCTGCAGTTCCAGAAAGAGCACCCAGGGAAATAAAAATAGCTTATAGTTTATTTTTAATCCGCATATTAGTATGGATGAGTATTGTTCACCATTTGCTTTTCTTGACCAGTTTGAGAAATAACTAATGGGAAGAGTAAAAAGGAAAATCTAAATTCTATAACTTTACATTTCATTATCAGTAACATCAATTAATAGCTTTTGTTGCTTAGGATAATTACTGTTCTTATAGTAATAGTATGGAAACAAGATTGTCTACAATGTGCACTGAATATAAGCGTACTTCAGCTTAAGAAATTATATTTATTATTATTATTATTATACAGTATTTATAAAGCGCCAATAGTTCGCTCAGCGCTGTACATTACAAAGGGGGACAGAACATGTGACAGAACAATACCAATACAATGCAAAACATGAGGGGATTGATGGCCCTGCTCTTTCAAGCTTACAATCTAGGAGGGAGGGGATGGTGGCACAGGAGGAGATAGCTGTGGGGGATGGAGTGGTAGGAAGAGTGGAGGAGGTCGGCAAGTTAGCAGGGGGCGGGGTAGGCTTCCCTGAAGAGATGGGTTTTCAGGGTGCGCCTAAAGGAGAGGAGAGTAGGTGATAATCTGATGGGTTGGGGCAGGGAGTTTCCAGAGGATGGGTGACACCCTGGAGAAGTCCTGGAGGCGGGCATGGGAGGAGGAGACCAGGGAACTAGAGAGAAGGAGGTCTTGTGAGGAGCGGAGTGTGCGTGCTGGGCGGTACTTGGATATTAGGTCAGTGATGTAGTTCGGGGCAGTATGGTGGACAGCTTTGTACGTCAGCGTTAGGATTTTGAATTTGATCCGTTGCGCAATCGGAAGCCAGTGGAGGGATTGGCAGAGGGGGGTGGCGGAAACGGAGCGGTTGGAAAGGTGAATGAGTCTGGCAGCCGTATTCAGGATGGACTGAAGCGGGGATAGCCAGCGGCGAGGCAGGCCAGTGAGGAGGGAGTTGCAGTAGTCGAATTGTGATATGATGAGGGAGTGGATGAGCTGTTTAGTGGTTTCTGGAGTTAGGAACGTGCGGATTTTGGCGATGTTGCGGAGGTGGAGTCTGCACGAGTTTGTTAAAGAGTGGACTTGGGGCTGGAAGGATAGGTTGGAGTCCAAAATGACACCAAGTACTCTGGCCTGCGGGGCGGGTTTGATGGTGGCGTTGTTGGACATGATGGAGAAGTCAATGGGGGGTGGTGTCCGGGCTGGAGGGAAGACAAGAAACTCGGTTTGGAGAGGTTCAGTTTAAGGAAGTGGAGCGACATCCAGTCTGATATGTCGCTCAACAGGTGTGTGATTCGGGCGGAGACCGAGGGGGTGAGGTGGGGGTTTGAGAGATAGATTTGTGTGTCGTCGGCATAGAGGTGGTAGTTGAAGCCGTGAGAGTGTATGAGTTGGCCAAGGGAGGAGGTGTAGATGGAGAAGAGAAGGGGCCCGAGGACAGAGCCTTGAGGGACCCCAACAGAGAGGGGGAGTGAGAGGGAGGTGGTGGCATTATAGGTAACGCTGAAAGAGCGTTGTGACAGGTAGGATGAGAGCCAGGAGAGAGCAGAATCTCTGAGGCCGAGGGAGTGTAGTTTTTTTGAGGAGGAGGGGGTGGTCGACTGTGTCAAAGGCCGCAGAGAGGTCAAGGAGTAGGAGCACTGAATAGTGGCCATTAGCTTTGGTGGTTAGCAGGTCGTTGGAGAGTTTGAGTAAGGCAGTTTCGGCGGAGTGTAGGGGACGGAAGCCGGACTGTAGGGGATCGAGGAGGTTGTTGTCGTTGAGGTGAGAGCATAGGCGGGCGTAGACTAGGCGCTCAAGGAGTTTAGATGTAAATGGGAGCAGGGAGATGGGTCTGAGGTTGTTCGGGTCATTGGGGTCCAGGGAGGGCTTTTTAAGTATGGGGGTGATGTGTGCATGTTTCAGAGGGGAAGGGAAAGTTCCGGAGGAGAGGGAGAGATTGAAGATGTGGGTGAGGGAGCGTAGGATGGAGGGGGAGGGAGGTTGTAGGAGTTGTGAGGGGATAGGGTCAAGGGGGCAGGTGGTGAGGCGGGCATCAGAGAGGATCTTGGAGACTTCTTCGATGGTAGTAAGGTCAAAGGTGCGGAGTGTTGGGGGAGCTTCAGTATGAGGAATGTAGGGTGGGGTGGGAGAGGAGGTCAGAGCAGTGGTGGGGCCGTGGGAGAGGGGTGTAGAGGGGGTAGCTGAGTGAGGGGGAAGGGGGTTGGAGGGAGTTTGAGCAGCGACGAAGTCCCTGTGGGTTATGTCGAGGGGGAGGGGGGATGAGGGGGTAGCTGTGTGAGAGGGGACGGGTTGAGAAGGCGTGTGAGTTGCGGCAATGTCCTTGCGAATTGTGTCAATCTTGTTTTTGAAGTGATTGGCAATCTCAAGGGCAGTGAGTGAGGTGCAGGGTGGAGGTGGGGGTGGCGAGAGTAGAGAGTTGAAGGTGGAGAAGAGTCGGCGAGGATTGGAGGAGAGGGCCTTGATGAGGGTCAGGAAGTAGGCTTGTTTGGCAGTATGGAGGGAGGAGGTGTAGGTGTGGAAGGCAGATTTGTATCGGGTGAAGGCTTGTTGGGATTTGGTTTTGCGCCATAGTCGCTCCTGGGCATGACTGTGTCGTTTGAGGGTTTTGGTGTGATCAGTCTGCCAGGGCTGGAGCGGTCGGGGTCTGATGTTGCGTGTGGTTAAAGGCGCTAGTGAGTCAAGGGCTGTTGACAGCGCATTGTTGTAGG